TAACGTCTCTTAAAATTAGAATTACGGTCAATTATTTATATACCACCATAGCCATATTGGGTTCCGAACATATTACCCTTACTTACCGTGTACATTTTAAAGAATGTTATTATTGTACGTGTATTTGTAAATTATTTGATCTATAAGTAATAGCGGAATATGGTGTGATAACTTGACAAGCTTACCTTGATGGGATAGTCTGGAAGATTAAAAAATAATACGAATCTTTTACACCGGAAGCGGTTGTCCTTCGTACGGGAACAAATGAATGCTTTGGCATAGACCTATTAGATGTACAGCGGGTAGCCCTGAAATCAATGAATACGTTTTGAGAATCGGTTCTCCTTGAGGGATTGAAAAGGAGCACGCACTTGCTAGCATTTATTTTAATTATTGTTATTGATTCCGCCAAAATATATAGCGTAGCCGAGATAAATCCTCAGGTTGGAATATGTTAAAGTAAGAGGAGAATACTCAAGGCTCGCTAGATGCCCATATAATACAAATATACTTAATACTAAAAATAGGAATTATCGGAGTTTAAGCAAAGTTGATGTGTTGTTTTTTGTTCATTATTTTCAATAATCAACCAATGTGATCGAAAGAAAAATTCAAAAACTTAACCCCCTCTCAAAATTTGAGGTTTTACGTTTCAGGATGCGTAGAATTCGAGAAACGAATACAAATTATTTCGCCGTCCGCGCATTTTCTCCGAAACTACTAGACCGATTTTCCAAATTTGGATATACAATCAGAGGTCAGCCGAGGATGATCCACATTCATCGACATTACTATCCGCCTTTTACTTTCAAAATGGCGGCCGAAAAACCTGCGTTGCTATAGAGTGTACCTCCTAAACGAATGTCCGATTTCAATGAAACTTCGCTAAAGTCATTTTCTTGACGCCCTCTAAATTTATCTATATGACATACTTCAACGAAAAGGAGCTGGAAAAAAAGTTACGATTGATGGTAAAATTTTCATTCCGAATAACTAAAAAAGTATACACTTTTTTAGTCATTCGCAATGACTAAAAAAGTGTATCCTTTTAGTTATTCGTAATGGAATTTTTACCATCCCTCGTAACCTTTTTTTCCAGCTCCTTTTCGTTGAAGTATGTCATATAGATCGATATGTCATATATGACTAAAAAAGGAGGGATGGTAAAATTTCCATTCCGAATAACTAAAAAAGTATACACTTTTTGTCGATATGTTTTTTTAAAAGTTTACGGAATTTACTAAAAAAAATCGTTAAAATCGGACAATTAGGAGCAAAGATATGGTCTTCAGTTTTCTAAATATATTTTCTACTCCAAATGTTATATCCTTTGTTTAGTTTTTAAATTTTGAATGTGTTAGTGAAGTAATGCTATTTTTTTTAACATATGATTAAAAAAAAGTTTAGACCAATAATTGGAATCACATCCTATTTATTTTTATTTTTAACTAGGAAGGTAATGTTACTTTAGATGTAAGTTTTTTGGAAATAATAAACCATTGTGAAATAATTTTGGTTCCCATATTATAAAATTACTCCCTTTATTCAAGGGCGTACGAAGCTTTCATATTAGGGAGGTGGTGGGCATGATGGAAATTTTATTTCGGAAAATTTTATTATTATTGCAATTTATAAATATTTTTATATGAAATACAATGCATACATAGAACTACATTTGTTTTATAATTAATTTTCTCTAATTTTTGGCAAACCTTTTATATTATATTATGTTTTATTTTCTTTCAAATTATTTAGAGAGCAACGGCACCCTCCTGTCCTACCCTAAATAGGCCCGTTTATTAAATTGTTCTTATTCTATTAGAATCGGATATATTATCTAAATTTAGCTAACTGTGGGTTAACACCACAAGACTTCAGTAAAATTGGAGAAATTGAGGAATGGTGTTGTTTAATTTGTACATTTATTGACCAATATTATAAAAAATCACGCTATTAATGTATTTCGGGGAGATAACGAAATGAAGAAGTGAAAATTGATTTCCAAGACAGTAGTCAGCTTAAATTATTTTTATTATTATTTTTCGCACTACTTAGAATTAATTTTGCAAAAATTGACTGAGTGACAGTAGCCTGGAGCCGTACCAACACTTACCAGCCCCTTCTCCAGAAATGTTTGAAAAATAAATACCATGAAGTGGAAAACAATATAACAAAAAAATCTTTAGCTCAACTTCAATGTTTTTAGATTTAAATTGACCTTTAATTTTAATCTAAATCAGAAGTTCGATTGAGTGGCGTAAGATGTTATACAAAAACTAATTAGCTCAAGGATTGATTACATTTTCTACTTAAGAATTCGTAAGATAAACTTCAAGGCAACTCTATATACCGTCCCCCGGAGGTCAATGCTGGTCCTTAAATAATTTTAAGTTTATATTTTAAGTATGTGTCACCTTGGAATGTTATTAGTTAACCTCAATTCCAATGCTCAAGTAATATTAATAAATTTACCTCAATTTCTTAATTAATTAATAATTTGTGAAGAAATAATAACTTCCACATTACCGGACCCATTAAAATAATGTAAACATCAACTTAAAACTGATAAAACATTCTTTCATTTTGGAGCCTTAAAAACATAAATAATTAAATCAAGGGTGCCTATCCCCCTAAGGTCGATGGCGCATGAACCTATTCCCCCCCCCCGTCCACCTCCCAAGATATTTTATTGCTCACTTTTCTTAAAAACAGAGCATCTAAGGTAGAATTAGAAAAATCGTAGATCATATACAATTACACTTGCTGCGGTATGCTCTATGTTTTCTACTTTTTTCTTAGTCCGAAAAATCATAACCTCATCGAAATTTGCCCTCCCTAAAAAACTTTTATGGCGCGACTTGCACCATGAAACTCTCTTCTGGACATCCCTGAATTTAATAACTAACAGTTTTATTTTTTTAATACTCCTTTCATGCGATGCCCGTTCACTTTTTCGTCTTGCTACACAAGCATAGCACTTCGTAGTGTGTCTCAAGAACTTCTGAGTCCAGATGGGTTCCACTAATACCAATGAAGGAAATAAGTCTTCAGTTATAGTCTGTTTCGATTCTAGGTCCAAGGTTAGTAGTCCTTTGAGAGTACATTCTACCATCCAGCTCCGAAAATAACCACGCAATATATATGTATATATATATATATATATATATATGTATTATGAGTCACTTATTTACTGTATCTTCATTCATTTAGAAGATATGTCTTAATCTGTGCATCCCAAGCTTGATAATCGTTGTTGGTACCCTGTTTGGAACGTCATAGACACACCCCTTTATTAATAGCTCATTCATTTAAGATCGTCTTGAAATTGTATAACTGAAAAATATATCGCATTTACATAACTGTAACCTTGGCTAGAGAGAACCGATAACCCTCTGATAAAAATTGAGATACGATATTGTTAATTTATATAAAAAATAAAGCGTAATAAATTTATAATTCCTCCTCCCAAATAAGTGATAAAAAAAAAATCAGATAAGAGAGTGATAACAAAACAGTGAAATGGGCTAAATATCATAACCCAGAAGTCTTTAAAAAAAGAAACAAACTGAATCTGTTGGGAAATAACCGATTAGAATTAATATTTCGCAATTTATATTCAAATATTCAATTCAATATATAAAACCCATATAATTATAATTACAAAATTATTATTTCTCAAGGAATTATTTTATATAGTGTTCGGTTTGAAGCCAATGATACTTCCAAAGTTGTGGGTTTAGAATGGATCGATTTATATTGTTGATCTTAGATTTGAGACCTAATAATCTTAGATTAATGCCTGATGATGAAAAATGTTTGCAGGTTTGAATACATTCTGCCTGCTCAGGTCAAAAAAGAACAATAGCAGGAAATCATGATGCCATTTTTATTCTTTCACTCTGCTACAGAAAAAGCCCTGATAGCGTTATGGGTTTCGAGCAAGAAACTACTGAGATCCTCTTCACCAACTGATGCAGTGATGACCGAGCGCATTCCATGTTATGACACTCTGGAGTCTAGCGGCGCCGGCTCTAATCCGGTCTAGGCGAGCTGAAATTTATTTCGTGGCGGATCCTAGGAGACCATCATCGACTTGGTTGAACCTCTAAAACAACCAATACTGCATTGGATGCCAGAAATAGCGAAGTAGGGGTGTAAAAAAAAAAACAGAAAAAAAACTCTGTTGTTATACTGTACCGATGATCACGACACATCACGACACGAAATAGAGAAATCTGTAACTTTAATAGAACACAGAAATAAATAGGAAAATTGTTGCTAATTGGCTGTATGTGAAAAGGTGGCTAATAGATTACACCAAATCTACGCATTTTACTATTATTGGCTCAGTTCCTTTAACATTTCATACTCAAATTCCAGAAGCCCTATGTTATGATTCGAGTCAATAAATCATTATTCCCTGTGATGCTAAGAACTCTGGGTGGTGTGTCAAGATTGATGAGGTGTTATTGGAAAGATTCAGGGATTTTTTTTTCACTTCAAACATCTACCCGCACCTGTCATGGCATTGACAATCAGCATATTTGTGACAATTAATGATTGACATAATAGGCATGAGTAAGGATAGCGCACAGCAGCATCTCTTCCTAGTCATTGTTTACTTCCTTGATTAAGGTGAGGAGATCTCTCATCCAGCTCCTTTTTAGTCTCCTCCTGATGGAAATAAGTCTGTTGTGTCAGTGTAGTTAGAGATCAAAACGAGAGTATGGAGTACGTATATGTTGCTCGGTTGTTGGTTGTCGTAATTCGTTATTGGATTAAAGTCAAAAGGTTTCTAATTGTTAATTAACGTTAAATGTTACTTCTATAGCATTTTCAATCCGCATTGACGTGAATTAAATATTTTGCCGAAATGTTACCGAGATAAGATAAAACCAAGATTTAAATTTAAACTTAGCTAAATGGTGTTTGCCTTGAATATGAAACTAAGTTGAACGTTAAAAGAAGCAAATCGTTACATCTTCTGTAATTTGTTCTAGGATGGGACTCCTCGGTACGGCGACGTGCCGCTACTACACGGCGACGTTCAGCTGCTCTGCGGGAGGGGAGCTGGTGAGGACTTACCTCATCGGCAAGCTGGCCACTCTTTGCGTAGTCAGCATACTCCTCATCGTCATCATGAACAGGAGTGCGCAAGGATCCATAGTCGACGTCTACGCGAGGCGGCATGTCCCCACCCTCATGGCCATCAAGTGAGTAAACATATTTTTTTTTTTTTTTTCGTGACCGTAATATTTTTTATAGTCTTTTTTTTTCACACCAAGATTTAATATTATATTTTGTTATCCTCTGTACTAACATTATAAACTATTATAATTTTATCTTTAATATTTAAGAATAATCAAAAGATGATATTTCGTTATTATGAATTGAAGCTCTAAATGCTGAGAACTCCAAAACATTTGAAATACGGTCTAAATCTATTCAGTTTTACAGATAGTTGAAAATTTACTTATTCATTTATTCTTGTTATTAATATGATGAAGTTTAAACTGTGTTTACCTTTGACCACGTATTCCAATCGAATTTCAATAGGGTTTAACTGGAGGAAAGTTGTAAATTGTTTTAATATCTTCAGTTTAGTTTTCGAATAACCATAGTAAGTTTTCCTTCCCCTACTAGATGAGCTGTACTCCTTGTCTACGTATTTATAGTTGCAAAATACTTCCTTTTTTTTGTTAATGTACCTATATCTCTGATGCAATCAGTACTGTCAATAAACATTGGTTAGACCAATGTTGTAAAGCTTGAAATTCTGATCTACAATAGTACCCATATTAGACATATACGTTGTCAAAAAACTCACAATTCTATTAAAAGATAATTTAGAGATATACTAATGTAGAGATAGTTCAAAGTGTACCAAATAGTAAAATGTAGTCAATTACAAAATTCATCTTTGAAAACAGAGAATATCAAAACTTTAATATAAAACTAAGAATAAGAGCTGCAGCCTAAATTTGTTTTAACATGTTAAGGATTTTAATTAAATTCTTTATTAAAATATTACTTTTTCTTATTTTATTATTTATTTACAATTATAAATCTTTAGTTTGTAATTTTAAAAAAATATAAAATAAAAAAAATGTTGTATCAATTTTTGTTTTAAATATTGTTATAGTACAGTCTGTACAGTTACACTGTTCTTAACCCAATTTTTTTCTAACACTTATATCCACAAAATCTGACTATGGGACAAGATATCTTGAATCTCAAATACGGAAACAATTTTGTTAGTCAATTATGGTCATAATGAAAAGAAAAAAAAGCACATACAAATAGAATTTTTACTAATACATATCTGTTCTGATTCGGCATATTTACCAAAATTAGTAGTATAGTTTTTGTTTATAAATTTCACTGATATTGTAATAGGTAGGAAAATACTAATATCAATATTTTTTCATATTTAAAGTTAATCTATTTAATAATATAGTAAATATTTTTATATTTAAAGTTATTCCATAATACAGTAATTGCCTTTAGCAATATATATATTTAAAAATGGTCATATATAAACATTTCTTAAGATTAAATAAGTACTTATACTATAAGTCTTATAGTACCTATTAGGAGGAAATTTGAATCAAAATGTGCTAGTTTTAAATTTATTATCTTCAATGGTTTGTAAAAGATTCTCTTTAAAACTATCCTATTGTTACTCATCCTCCTATATGTAATATCAGTATTTGTGGATTAGCCACAATGGCATTGGTGACTATATCTAATTGCTTTGAACTACCACATTATCATATCTCGTAAAATGTTATCTTAACAATTAAATAGTAATCAAAGAAAGTATTTCTTTTATTAATTAATGTTTTTTTAAGTTGTTAAGAATAGATTTTTTTTCTTGATAATACAATTAAGAAGCAAATATCTGTTGACAGAATATTCCTACTGATCCCCGAGACAGGCTGGAATGTGATGGGTACTATGTGGGCTTACATGGAAGTGATCAAATGCGAGCAGTATGATCACTATACCAACACTGCCATTGATGGTATACTGCATGTACATAAACACTTTTACTTTCTATAATTATATTTTCTAAATATTTGTTGACAATTTTACTGTGTTCATGAATATGTTAAGAGAATAAAAAATTAGAATTGTTCTATCTAATATCCCCACCTTAGATTATAAGTTTGTTGCACCATACAAACTTTCGTAAAACAGTCAGGAGGAAGAACAGTAGCGTTTATATTTTTTTTCATTTTATAATTTACATTTGGGAATCTAAAATATTCCAAATTTCATGTCTAAAACATTCCACAGAGCTAACATGTATGGTAAAATATAAAAAAGGTAGAATATGAATTCAAAAAATGGAATAAAGGATGGACAACATGCCTATTCAAAAAAAAAAAAAAAAACAGTTCCAATTTTGTTTAAAACGGGAAGGAGAAGTTAAATCTTATTCAGACCAATCATCACTTATTCAATGAAAACATTGACTATGAATAATCATCAATAATTAGCAGAATTATTAAGGGCCTTAAGCAGATGGTATTTATAAAATGATAAGGAATAAGGATATAAACACCATTCTGCAAAACCAAGAAATTTTTAGATCTATAAGTACTAGAGAATCAATTGGCTGTGATTTATACATGTATAATAAATACCCAAATGCCAAAAGTTTTTTATTTATTTATTTTATTTATGATATTTACAACTGCATTAAGAAAGAATACATTAAGTAAATGTGATAACAGAAAATAAAAACATGAGAACACTTGTTGAGAAACTACCCAGTGCTAGCACTCTAAAAAAACAAAAATGTATTTACGATAGGCGATCTCGAGGCCATCTTCTTTTCAGATGCCTCGGAGGGTTATCAGTGATCAAATAGGAAGCAAGTTTAGAAACGAGAGGGTTCGGATGGTACTGAAATTTATTACGGAAGGATAGGTATCTGGATTGGGCCAATTTGGAAACATAAGGAACATTAAGGTCTTCATAATGCCAAAAGTGAAAAAATAAATAAATATTTATTTGAAATAATATATTTACATCACGAACGGAAGTGTATAAATAATTTAACTGAATAATAACAGAATGAGTAAACTACCAAGATTAGAAAATTAAATTTAAATGAATATGTTCACATTCATACTCATGTATAATATTTACTTACTACCTAGCCAAGTCTTTGCTATGTCACTTGTTTGTAATGCATAATAATATACCCAAATATTAAGAACTTTACCGAACATCAAGATTTACAAACTAATACAATATTTTAATTAAATCATATTTGTTCTCACTTCAAATATACCTGAAAGAATAGAGAGTTTTATTACACACTGTTTCATTCCTTTATCTATAGTTACAAGAAAAAAAAAAAAAAAGAATAACACAAAAAGCTAAAAATTTGTGAAATTCATATTTATTTTTTTAAGACACAAAATAATCAAATTTTAAATTCATATAAGTCTCTATATCTTTATTGCACTCTCTATAGTCCAAAGGAATATTTTAATACAAGGTTTCAATCCAACTTTCAAATAAAACACTATTTGATTTTTATTTTCTTTTGAGAACTACAATTTTAACAATCAATTCTGTTATCTTGCCAGATAATATCACATTAAATAGCATTAGCTCATATTCCTTATGTCCCATTGAAAAAATCCAAAAGAAGAAAGGATTTTAAGTATCATGCATTTTAATTATGAAAAAGAATAAAATAAAAAAGTTGCTTGATAAAGAGTTTAAAATTTCAATATTAATTATATTTTATAATTAAATTAATTTACATAGCAACTCAGGTAAATCAATAATTTTATTTTTAGTTATCGTGATATTGGATTGGCTACTGTTTGCACTGGCAATGTTCACACTCTTCATGGTGATAGATCCAATAGGATCGGTGAAGCTGAGGGGCTCCCAGCCTGACGTAAGCTTGGACACTCTCTACCACCGCAAGGTGACCAGGATCTGGGTGAGGAGGTTCCGCTGGGTCTTTTGTTGGATTATAAGAGATAAGCAGAGCCATGAGGCCTTTTCCCAGGTTGCAGGTATATTCATAACATTACTTTGAATTGCCTTCTTTAATTTATAAATATTTAGTTTAATAGAGCTTTATTAAATGAGAAATGATATTTCATAAAACATGAAAGTTTATATTATATACCTCAATACCAACTATGATTGCTTTTTATTGTATGAATATTTTAAAAATTTGAAGATTAAATCAGTTTCATATCAGTACATAAAGATCCTAAGTGACAGCCATTGCTCTAAGTAAATGATTCATGGCTTTATAGCATTTTTAAGAAACAGTATGGTCAAAATGATTATTAACCACTTGGTACATCTCCTATCTAACAATGGAATTGGACAGGCTTCGAAAATATCTGTTAAACATTATTTTTCCTATCAAGATAAAATTAGTGTTATTATATTTCGAAAATATTGCTTCAAAGTTGTAATGGTATCCTTAAAAAATTAATTAATTAATCATTTAGTTGCTGGATGTTTCAGGACTAGTCAGCTGCATGTTCAGAGATACAGATCTTGTCCCATCGGATCTTATTGCTGGATTTGTCCTTCTCAGGGTGAAACAGAAGCGAGAATCCCGAGAGCAAAGGAGGATCGAGCTAATCGCAGAACAAAGGCTCAAATACACTACAGGTCAATATTTTAATTATTTCACTACTAACTCATAAGCAATATTATTTGGCATCAAAGATCATCTTAAACTATCATTAAAAAAAACAGATGGTACCATTAAGAGTTAACAAATTAATGCTATAATTATTAAATAACTTCAGTGTTTACAACTTGACGAGCAAGTAAAAAAAAATTTAATTTTAAATTTATATCTGTTTAATGGAGAAAAAAATCTTGGCAAATTAAGCTTCCTCTATTTAGATAACATTTGTGACTTGTTTAAATTAGAATTAAGTAAATTCAAAGAGATCGTCCTCAGAGCAGCACTTATAATTTATTATATGACCTGTGCCTAATCCATTTTAGTCGATAGTCGAGCTATGGTTAAAGTCCTAATGGTATTCTCACACACAGAAATCTAAGTATCAACATTTGAGAATCTCTCATAATTCTTACATACTAGTAATAAAAAAATATTTATAAAATATGTTTCACAATCTTGTTAAGGAATTTATATAGCATTGATAGTAGGCGCTATTGCTAAACTTTTCAAAGACAGGTTTAGATAATTTTAGATTCAAATTAATTTATTATTTCTTTTACAGATGTGAAAGAAGCATTTTGCAATATGCCAGAATGGATGAACTTGGAGAAGGCTGAACACTACATGAGATTTGCTCTCTCCTCATACGGGTGCCCTATGATGATGTTCCTACACTGTGTGACCGGGACCTTTAAGCTCATAGCAAATAGTACTTGTTGCGCTTGTTTTAGGTTATTTTCAATCAATCATTATAGATAAAAGTATATTGTTATGATTGTTGCATTAACAATAAATGTATACAATATTTCAGGTCAAAGCCTACACAAGTCCGAGGTGATAACTGCTGTCTCTGCAACCTTGCTGGGGTTAAAGCACTATCCAAGCTCCCGGATAGGGATATCTTGTATGCTTCCTTCAAGAACTATATTTTTGAGGTATATCATGATTTTTTTTTTTTTAAACTTATTCTATTCTAAATGATCCATAATTTGGTTTAATAAAGTACCAAAAACTTTCATTTACAAAAGTCCATTTTGTATGAAGACATTGAATAAATAAATTATTAAAATTTTACTAGACTTTGTATCATTGGTTACACTATCAATTGTAAGTTTATTTGTAATTTTATGCAAATGATTATTTTGGACAATGTATTAGTTTCCTCTAAATTATTCTGAAGGGATAAGTCATCCTTGGAAAAATAAAATTTTATTTAATAGTATAACTAGTTCAATAGCTAGATTCAAGCTGCAAAAAACATCTTTCATCTTTTTTGCCTTTTACTTCAAACCTATCGATTTCTCTCATAAGGGGGAGAGGGACAGGATTTATCTTACAGGTACCCACTAGCGGATCCAGGATTTAATTTTGGGGGGGGGCTTCAGCCCGAAAGTTGTTTTTTTCATAAAAATAACGATAATTACTTTGGAAAAAAAGAACGAAACTAACTACCTGTATGAAATGGTGTTTAAGTGATTCCTAAAGCCCTTTTAAATGTAATTAAACGAACAATAATACTTTAAGAGATACTTTTTAAATATTTTTTTCGATAAAACATGGATATGTTTACCATTTTGGGGGGGCTTCAGCCCGAAAGCCCCCCCGTAGATCCGTCCGTGCAGGTACCCAAATCAGGTATTCTAAACCCGAATGGGAAGGTTGAAATTCATTCTGTGCGTAAGCCACAAAATAAAGTTTTCAATTCACCCAGACCAGATACGAACTGTCACCACTAGACTCTAGATTGTTAAGATTACAAAGCCTTAACCTTTTTTTTTTTTTTTTTATTTCTTTATTGAGTATTATAGCAATCTGTCTCTTGGACATTGGTTATAGTGAGGTAGGACGATGTTCACACTATATGTACAAAAAACAAAACAGATAGAACAAAATAACAATCAAAAGTATATACAATAGATAATAAAATAAAATAACCTAAAAAAATAAGAAAATCCTTAACCTTTTAGAGACAAATTGTGGAAAGGGAGGAGCGGCTTGCATTAGCTGACAGTTCTCAGTGCCCCTGTGATGGAATACTTTTCATCATCTCTACTCACTATTTTAACTATTTCATTAAGGGTATCGTTTTAAACTTGTTCGGGTTTTCTTCATTTTTTTTTTTTTTTTTTGTGATTTTAATACAATTGATTGAAAGACCTTGAGATAGATGAAAATAGAATATATTACTGAGCACACCCTCCTCCCCTTTCCATCCTTCAAAGAGAAAGAGCCCAACAGGGTCTCCTTAGTCTTCATTTACTTTTTCTTGTCTGATATTTCCTCCTCATTTTTCTTGATTTTATCAGTACTCTAAAAAGACATAATAACCATTACTTTTCATGAAAATTATCAGGTTATTTTTATTTTAAACTTTTTCCTTAATATTAGGAAAACATAAATTTGTTTAAAATAATATTTAAATTATTTTTCAGCTACCATTTTTGGTGTTAGTTGATCATAAGACAAAATGTATTGTTCTGGTAATAAGAGGATCTATCTCTATGAGAGATGTTTTCACCGACCTAACTGCATATCCTGAGAGATTAGAAACTGAAGGAATCCCTCCAAATAGCTTGGTAAATAAGTATAATATTCATTTATCAACACATCTTATTTACACTCATTTTCTGTTTGTATGATCAACTGGATATACCAGTATAGAAAAAAAATATGTGCTAACAAATCATTGGATGGTTATTATATTTTAAAATAGATGATCGCAAAAACAACAATAATTATTATTGGCAGTAACATTCAACCACACTGTTGTACTTATGCTTCTTCAACTAACTAAAATAAATGAAATATTGTTTTTTTTTTATTCAGCTATCACGTAAATTACTCGATTAATATTTCAGAAATATTTACTAAATTTATTGTGCATGTTATTTATATATACATAATTATGGTAATCCTTTTGCAGTTCCATAAAGGATTTATGATGTGTGCGATAAACTTGAAAAAACATATAGAAGACAACAACCTCCTTGAGAAAGCGTTTGCTCAGTTCCCAGAGTATGGACTAGTACTGACAGGTAATCAAAAACTCTAAGAACAAAGATTGAAAATATTACATCTTTTCCTAAAATAAGTATCTATAGCATAAGTTTTTATTTTATTTTTTATTTTGTAGATAAAACAACAATATCAATAATAGCTAGAAAAACTTTGTTTTTTAATTCAGAAATAATTATCAAATTATTTATAAAAGTTATTAATAAGAATAATTTCTTAGTTAAAAACATTCAAAGCAATATAATAAAAATCTGGTGCGTGCAACACAGAACTTTCACTTACCGCTCAACTTTGAATAGAAATTAATTTCTGGCTATGTTCGGCTATTATAAAATGTTTGAATTTTTTTTATTAAAGAACCAAGCTAAAGCTAAAAGCTTACAGCTAAAAAAAACATAAATACCATTAAAATAACGAAAGGCCTATTTATTATATCTCCGGTTGATTATGGATTGTACGACTATTAGTTACTAAACTATTATTTTTCATTGCGATGTTTGCTAAAATGGAATTAAGGGATTTACATTGTCTGTCACAGACATGCCAAAATGCTGTCACACTAATTGTAAGTGGATACTGTTGGAATATCACTAAGGAAAAATTCATCAAATTATTCACTGATTTAAAAGGTTACATGATGACTTTTCGGAATAAAATTAACTAAAGCATATTGAGATTATTTCATATCAATATTGTAGGGTTTTTTCTGCATTGTTTTGAGATTTTAGTAGATGAAATTCAAATTGTTTAAATGAGAAGAAAAGAGGATTCAAACTATTATTATATTTTTTAACCATCCCTATATAAATAAATTTGTTTTATTTTTTCAGGGCATAGCCTGGGCGCCGGAACTGCAGCTATCCTAGGCTTTCTGTTAAGGCCTAAATATCCTGATCTCAAAGTTTACGGTTTCTCAACACCAGGTTAGTTCATCCCATACCACATTGTCTGATCTTGTACTTTTGTTCATACCTCAATTTGATTACTTTATTTCAGGTGGCATAATGTCGAAGGAAGGAGCAGAAGAGACAAAGAACTTTATGATGTCCGTTGGACTTGGAGACGATTTTATCATGAGGCTAAATGTCCCGAACTTTGAAGATCTGAGAACACAGATTTTTAATGTACTTCAGGCCTGTAGATTACCTAAAGTAAGTTTATCAATAATAAAGAATATATTTATCATTGGTTTATTGAAAAAAAGTCAACAAGCATCCTCTTAATTGATCTAATGTATTTTTGAAATTTTATTTTATTTGTCAATAAAAATATTCATTAAGTGCATCAAAATTACAACACCCATAATGTATGTCAAATATTGGTTACACAAAGTGCAGGATATTCCAGTTTCACAAAGGTAAAATTTACTAAATTGGTTTAATTTCTTAAAGTGTTACCTCGTGGCTTTTCGCAATAAACCGATAATATAATTATATATATTTTTTTATTGCAGCATTTTTAGAATTAAAATAAATGATTTCTATAGTACAGAGTGTTCCTCAACGGGTTCGGGTATGCACTCTTTGGGGTTCCAGCAGCTGATCTGGAATCAGTCTGGCGGAATGAGAGGCCGACACCACGCATGCGGCAACCAGAGCAGCAGAGAAGAGTTTTGATACCTCCTCACAGTGTAAGTTATTTATTATTTTTTGAGGTTTTCCTGCTAAATCCAGAAAGGATGAGTTACCCAACAGGAAACTAACCTGCTCTATCCAAAGTGAGAAGGTTAAAATTTGATTTTATTTTTCATTGGAACTAACTCTAGTTTTTATTAGATGATTTAGTTTTACTGACTTTTTTTAAAGACAAATATTTCAAAAAATAAATTTACTGATTCATATATTTTTTTATTGCACAGGATGTTATGTCAAGGAGATATACACATGTAAAGATGCATTCTGCAGGCAGAATACTACATATATCAAGAAAAAGAAAAACGAAAGATGAAAAGTAATTAATTTTAAAAATTTTAGTTTAATTTTACTATGAATAAACTTATTACCAACAATATTTTATCTTATTAAATCCACTCAGTTCGACTTTATCTTGATTATTTAAGGCCTCAGCAGACATACATAATCAAACTAATATTATCGGCTTTATGGTATCGTCAAATACCAACCAATACCCTAATTTAATCAATTTTTTTTTCTCCTGAATTCTCTTTGCTGTTGGTTGGTTGATTAGAATCTTAAAAGAGGCATAACTATTATGGGCAACTTTAAGTATACTGTGGAATGATTGTTTTAATGTAGTTAACATGCTGGCAGAGATATATAAATTTATATAAGTCTAGTTACCTAATTTTTGTAGTATTTTTTTTATTTTACAATACATTTCTTTCTTTAACAAAAAAAATCCAACATCTACTGTTGAGTTTCCATTTCTTAATATTGTTAATTTTCCAAACCAGTTCGATTTGAGTCTTAATATAGGTAGTGATTGAAATGATGACATCTGGGAAAATTGTTTATTAACAGAGAGACTTTCTTATATGTCTTTCCAATCTTCAGTTCCATTAGGATTACTTCTTCCCTTATAATTACTGTGAAAAGAAGTACGCAAGTGCTTGATACTCACTTTAACGTTACATAAAGACCCTTGCCCCACCTTGTCTACCTCTCTTTGCTATAATTCTTCTTTAATGTATCTGTAAATATCAAGAGTGGCATTGAGAATCATGTCCTAAAATAGTGGCTTAAACCATTTATTTGTAGATAGTGATATTGATTCATCCAGATGAAGAAGTAATTTTTTTCTACATTCTGTTACAACTTTTAAAATTTCATGTACTGTTAGGATAACTCTCATATCACAAATTAAAATATATGGTATTATCTTAATATTTAGGCTATTTTTGATTATTTAGAACGAAAATAATTTAGTTATTGTCTTAGTAACTTATAACTAATGTACTAATAATTCTGTAATTATTAACATTACTTAATATCCCATTTGCCACTAATTGATTTAGATATATCACACAATGGTTAAATGGGTATAAGCACCCTTCTATTACAAAGACCTCTCCCCATACATACCACTCCACGAGCGTTCAAATAATTTCCTGGTAATCTTTTGAAGCATAAGAAATTAATATTTTGCATGGACTGCTACATTAGGTAGGTTTTTCCTAACAGTTTCCATATTCCATATTATTCTAATTCAGCTTATTTTTTTAAATCTATTAATAAAGATTAAGTTTTAAATTTATAAACTGATTTATTTAAAAAAGTAAAAAAAAATGTTTTGATTAATTAGTTTTTTTTTTTTTCACTATGTGAAGAAAAGGGGAAGATGACGAAACTTATGAGATGAGGTGGATTGATCCAGAAGAGCTTGTTGAAGAGGAAATCAGGATCTTGCCAAGAATGTTCCTTGACCACTTCCCCCACAACCTGCTGAAAGCCATTTCAACAGTATTAGAGGAACAGCGGACAGAGATAGAAGACTTCCCTCAAATAACGATAATATGACAATGTTAGGATGGTTTTAGGAGGACTATAAGAAGCACTCAATGGTCTGAAGTCGTGCCTTCTCTGAATCAAAAGCATGAAGTGATGTGCCTACTGCCAAAACTAAGTTCAAAACTGATAAACTTTAAGTTTTTTATACTGACTAGTATATATGTAAATATTTAGTTTTTTAGTTCACTTATTTTTATAAACTAATATGTATATGTATTCTTATACGTGAGATTTATTTGTAATTTTATACTTAAATTAATAAGTGGCTAATGATTAGTTCAAATTTTTACATGAATGTATATATTGTAACTAGTAAATATATTTTTTATATAAATATTTATAATTTATTTTGTAATTGAACAAAGGAATTAATTTGAGTTTTAATTCCTAACAGTAAAATAATATCCTAGTAAGTAATAAATACGATTTTTTTACACTGTTTATTATGTAATCAGAGAGTGGATTAACTCAGTGAGAAAGGCATTGTGATCCTACTCTCTAGGACCTGGATTTTAGTATAGTCATGACAGATAAAAATTTATTCTATTATATCAGCCTCCTGAGATTAACTTTCCTCGGGCATATCTAGTCTCTATAAAATGGGTACCTATTAATTAATTAATGAGCAAACATTAAGGAGAGCATAATTTCAGCCAAATCATGTTTTTATCTTGCTATTCCTTACAAAGTAATAAGCACTTTATGGGTTGTAGTGGGAGAGATATAAGTTTTTTCTTATTCTTATTAATTAATAAATATTTCAGACAATTTCAACATTTTTATAAAATAGGAAAAACTGAATCAAGACCAAATCAGAATACTTCTAATAAAATCCAAATTATATTTGGAATAAATTTCACATTATCATGATTTTCAAAAATTATATTCTGTCATAAGAATATATGATTTTTTAAACATAGAGCTCTGTTTTAAGAGACATGAAGCTATTGATTTATAATCTTTGTCAAATGCTTTAAATTGTAATTTTCCTTCAATTTTTTTTAATGATAAATAAATAGAAAGATATTCAATTCAAAAGGATGGGACTTCCAAAACTTGATTCAACAACACTGAGTTAAAGAATGTTTCCTTATACTGATGAGAAAGTAAAGGTCATTAAGACAGTGTATAGTTTCCTTATATAATGGAGCTATATATAACTTTTAAATAACAATGATCATAAATGTATTAAAATTAAAGTTCAAAATGTCAATAAATTATTTTCTATTGAATAACATTTTCATTCATCATTGCGTTTTGCAATGTAGCTGAGTTCTAGTAGGAGCTGATAATGAATCCAATAATACTTTATTCCATGAATTAATTCCCTCCTCATTTCTATATCATAGAACTAAAATAAAGAGCAGTTAAAAAGTATGATTTTAAAAACAGTTTTCACTACTATTGATTAACAATCATCAATTATTAATTCTGAGTTTTCGGTGATGTCATGTTCTGGTTCAACTTTCATCTTCTGATCATCTGGACTATCTATAGCAGGAAAATTTGAATTATTTTCAAAATCTTTTTTCATCGATTCTTTTTTATAAAGTTGCACGAAATAATTTCGCACATCTTCACTAAAAACAGTACGTTGTATGCGAACCCAATTTTTTTGTATTATCTCAGCTGAAAAACAAACAAGTTATAATTAATAGTTGGTCGTTAAAACATTAAGTTTCATTTAAAAAATTAAGTAACTATGCCCTTTGAAGAATTTTCTCTCTGTGAAATTAGAGCGAGTGCACTATGATAGTGTAACTATTTTATTTTCACTTATTTATAAACGTTATATATAGTGATGGATAGTATTGTGATAGTGAAAAATGTGGAAGTTTAGCTATACTTTGAAAAAAATTATTTTCTGGTAAAGTTGTGCTATCCAAAAATTTTGAAGTGCGTTTTTAGGAAGCTACAGTTTAAAGTTTACAGCTAACAAATAATTAAGACCATTGTAATAATAAAGACCCTATTAATTACATCAACAATAGACAATAAAAATCTCGGTACTCCATTTGTTTTTATAGACCACATAACTCCAGTCGCTGAGCTATATATCTACGTATATACATCCAGGGATACACTGCATTCTAAATCTTATAAAAATATTTCATGTAGTTGGAACCACGGCACACTTTATTTGGTCACCTGGCCATATAGGCGTTAAAGGAAACGAAATGGCTGATAGAGCAGCAAAAGATGCTCTTACCCTTCCAGGCCGCGATAAAGTTTTTTTTGACACCATCTGAACTAGCACGACCACTAAGAGAAACCATATTCTATTAAGATTTTGGGACAACAGCTCACCTAGCAAATTAAAGGTAATAAAGAAAGAAGTGGAACCGTACACCAGCTCCAAACGCAGCAGTCATAGAGAAGTCGTCCTCACGGAGGATCAGACATAATAGACTGACACACCTCCACCTCATAACAAAAGATCTTACCCCTAGATGTCAAAAGTGTGACCAGTCATTAACCATAAAACATGTTTTGGAAGAGTGCCATTTTTACAACACAATGTTAAAAGATCTCGGAATACCCCAAAATATGTCAGCATCCCTGGGAAATCAAGAAGAAATCATTACCAAAGTTGTGAAGTTCGTAGACAATGAAAGACATAACATATATAAACATATATGACAAGTTTATAACTAAGGATAATTTACAGATTTTTTTTATTTTAAGAGTCCATTTATTTATTAATTTCAATTCATTTATTGATTTTATTAAAGTTTACTTATTTATCTATTCTATCTTATTATTTATAAGTGCCCGTTATTACCTTTATTTATTTATTTTATTCTATTAATCTTTTTTATTTTATTTTACTTTTATACCTTTTTTATCGTTTTTTTTATTTTTTGTAGAATAACACATACTTGCGGAATAACACATATCTAGTTAGTGGGGGGAGGAGGAGAGGGGAGAATGGCCAAAGGAGCTAACTGGTGTGATAAACACTCGTGGGCCGACAACCTGATGAATAGAAGATTGCGAGATCGAGTCCCGGGGTCATGGTCTTTCAAATTCGGCATTAATTTTCCGAACTATCGGATCCAGAATTTAATTTTGGAGGCTTTTCTTTTCATATTTAACGGTTTTTATTCAAGAAGTAAAATATACTACTTATATAAAAATAATAAAATACCTATAAGAGTCCTAGTTAAAGCCATAGGAAAACATTTGTGATTATTTAAGTATTTAGCTGAGATCACTCACAAAAAACAAATACGGAATAATGAAACAAAAATATTGTTTTTCCATTTTGGAGGGGCTTTAGTCCGAAACCCACCCCTTCCCCATAGATCCACCCAACCAGTGATCATCAGTGATCGTTTTCTTTCATCAGTGATCGTTTTCAGAGAAAAAAACCGTAAAAAAAAAAAGCGAGGCAGGAGAAAAAAAATATGGTGTGGTGCGCGCACAGCACAGCTTTCACTTATCAACCTCAAAGTCAAAGTGAAAACGATGGTAAAACTTAATTTAAAACAATTAATTATCATGTTTTCCCGCCCATTGAATCTGTGAATTTATACGTTTGCCCCACTTTCCATTTTCTTTTAAGGTTGTGAATAGTATCAAATAACACTAATGATAGTGAGGAAAAATGAATCTTTTGAAAAAGATTTATCACTAAACATTTATTACGGAAACATTTATCACTAAACTCGTCGAAAAAATAAAGTTAGTAAATATTGTAAATCATTAGGTTTATATTAATTGATTCTCAACATTTTTCGTGAAAGCATTTTCAGAAAGTTATGGATAAGTGATATACAGGGTGTTCAGGGTTAAGTGGCCAAACTGCAACAATTAACTAAGGACCTCAAAACAAGAAAAACATTTCCTCTGAAGGCATATCTGCTATTTCATTATTCAGGACATAATCACAACTAAAGATTTTCGTTGTTATGAATTATTTACGCTATATGAAATAAATAAAACCTATTTATTTGTTCTAACTACTTTATTAATTAAAAGAAAACATCAACATTCATATTAAATGTTGTTCAAAGTGAAGACATTTAGGAGATGGATTAGATAAAATACTAATATGGCCTTCTATCCCTAACTGTGTATAAAACACGGGAGGATCTATGGGGAGGGAGGGCTTTCGAGGTGAAGCCCCCCCCCCCCCAAAATGGCAAAATATAACAATGTTTTATCGAAAAAAATATAAATAAGTATCTCTTAAAGTATTATTGTTTGTATGATTAATATTAAAAGGGCTTTAGGAATCACTTATACACCATTTCATACAGGTAGTTAGTTTCTTTCTTTTTTTCCAAAGTAATTATCGTTATTTTTATGAAAAAAAAAGCTTTCGGGCTGAACTCCCTCCCCCCCAAAAAAATTAAATCCTGGATCCGCTAGTGGTACAAACTATTGGTAACATAAGGATTAATACTATTTGGAATTAGCATTAGGAACTAACTCTTAATAACATTTATCAGTTTGTAAGAGGCTTTCGCAAAGTACTCATCATTATGCCTTCTTTTTACACTTATGCCGAATATGCTAATGCAGTGTTTGTATACAGTTTTTGCAATGGTAACGCTAATGCTGCCCGCTGTGAATATTCCAGGCGATTTCTGAATAGAAGATTACCAAACAAATCTATCTTTAGCTCCACGGTTCAACGTCTTAGAGAAACTGGTACATTTGCTTTGTGGTATTATATACCACGTGCTGATGGCATTTTTGCTCCTTTAGGAAATGAAGAAAGGAGTGTGACCATATTACAATATTTTGATGATACTCCATCTGGCAGTGTACGAAGAGCTGGAGCAGAATTAAATATTACACCACCTACAGTATGGAGAACTCTCATTGCAGATGGACTTCACCCATATTATTATCAACGGGTACAAAATTTACTACCGCAAGATGTTCGGCAAAGAAGAAATTTTTCAGATTGGTACTTAAATCAAGTTGAGCATAATCGACAATTTTCAGAAAAATTCTCTGCACAGATGAAGAAGCTACCTTTACAAGAAGAGGAATCTTCAATCAGAAAAATAATCATCTCTGATTGCAGGTGAATTCCCATGAAATTCGTGAGCATCATTTTCAGCACAAGTTTCAGTGCAATATATGGTTGGAGATAATAGACAATATTTTGATAGGTCCGTATTTCTTGCCGACTCGATTCAATGCGGGCACATTTCTGGAAATTCTTAATAATGATTACTATGATTTAGTTGAACATATTCCACTACAACTGAGAAGGGACATGTGGCTTCAATTAGATGGTTGTCCTCCACACTACGGAAGAGGTCAACGACAATGGCTAAATGTTAATTATCCCAATCAATGGATTGGCCGTGCAGGACCAGTGGCTTG